CTCTCTCTCTCTCGTGTGTCGATGGCTTAGCGTCTTGGGGACGCTGAACCATCGAAGGGTCTCTCTCTCTTTCTTTCTCTCTCTCTCTCTCTCTCTCTCTCTCTCTCTCTCTCTCTCTCTCTCTCTCTCTCTCTCTCTCTCTGAGGGCCACATAAGTTGTACGTATTCAACTACGTGTTCATTTTCTTATCAGGTGTCGTATCTGTGTAGCAAGGAAAGAGACCTCCTCGAGTGCGTCGACGCCGAAGGTGATTGGCAGGGCTGCGACGTTCCATGATAAGTATTGGGCGCTCGATTGGCACCTGGGCATCAAAGTCCCCTATTGCGGCCCAGTCATTTTCTTGAGAGATTCCAGTGGGGCTTACTACCCCTGCGGTGGAGTCATGAATTACGCCTTTGACAAACTGGAGGTTGCTGAGGAGTACATGAGATTTCACCTCAGCACTTGCTTCGACGCTGATGGTAACGAGGAACCGGACAACTACAAACAGGTGTCACTGCATTTGCAGAAGTTCGTCGGGTACGGCATGCGGGCCGCTGCTATGCCTACTTTCGATAAGTCGAGGAAAAAAGACGGCTCACAGGTTGTGATGCTCCGCCCTTTTGACTTTCTCAAGAGAATTAACTGCCACAAGGTGTCTAGCCATGTGTGCACGGTGGACAGCAAATTGGCGCTCTCGGCACCCCTCATATTGTTCGATATTCAACTTGACGATTTCGCATCGAAGCTTCGGTCCTATAAATTGCAAGTGCTGGGCCAGGCTATTCTACACAGTGCGATCTCTGTGCGCTCGACGCATGGCGGTGGGGACCCGGGTGCTCGACAAAACAGCTCGGTGAAAATTGCCGAACGTGAGAACGTCGTAGAGAAATCAGAGCCTGTCCACAAGTCTGATCTCCCGCCGCGTTCGCTAACGAATACGGTGTCCAAACAGCCCGTGCCGGGTCTGAAGCAAGGGCAAGGTCCGGCGGAGGTTTCATCTTCACGTTATGCTAGTGGCTGCGAACTTCCGGAGGAGTCTGAGAAGACGGAGGATGACTTGTCAGCTAAGCAACATGTGCTTCAGAGAAATGCTGAAGGGAACAAACGACATGACGAAGATGAAGACAAAGAGTTCGATTGCTACGACGGTGGTGACGGTGACGAACAAGGAGTCGGCGACGGCGAGGAAGGGGGGAAAGACGAGGACGGGGGGGACGATGACGAAGGTGGGGATGACGAGGAAGACGGAGACGACCATCGTGGCCTCGAGGACGACGATGACGATGAGGGAACTGGGGGTGGGCGGGCGGAGGACGAAGACAGCTACGAAGCGGGGAGAGAAGGGGAACAGGACGAAGCCAATGACCACGGAGTGTCTGTCAATGAGTCTCGCAAATGTGCGAACAGTCAAAGGCTTCGCTTTGGAGACGATGACATCCGCAACACACAGAGATCAGTATGCTCGCGCAAGAGAAAATCCAGAGCTAGCGGTGATGAGGAGTTGAGGCGAAGACAGTCGAAGTTGATAGGTTTGGCAGCTTCGGAGGAGGCGTATAAGAAGGCATTGGACGCACAGTCGGCGAAGCCAGCGAAGGAAAAGCGTGAACGACCACGCTCTTCCCAACGACCAAAGAAGAAAGCGAAGACAAACGGTGCAAAGGAAGTTGCAGACTCCAGGGACGAGGCAGTCGGGGTTGACCCTCGAGATAATACGTCCAAACCAGAACAATTGGTGTCGGATGCTATCGACACAACGAGATGTTTCTTTCTGGAGTATGATGATAATGGCAATGCAATCGACCGGCCTGCCCAGGTGTTCGTAGATGTCCGCAAGATTTTGCCGAACCCAGACGACGGGAAATTCCAGTACAATTACAGACCCCTGAATGAGATGGCGGTCGCCTCCATCAAAGACACTATGGAACGGCCAGAGAAACAGAAAGAGTGGGACAGAAACACATTCATTCTTACTCCTGTTATAGAAGTCATGTGGAACGGGCAGAAACAGTGGCAACGTTTGAAACCCAAGGACTGGAGGGACGAGGATGTCAGTTCGTACCATTGGTACGTCGTGGCAAGCCAACACACGGTGGAAGCTGCGAAGAGGTTGGACGTAGCGAACTCACTAGCTGCCAGGAAATGGGGCGTGCAGTCATGGAAAGCGCGTGCGGTGTACTTTGATGATGACCATCTTGACGGGTATGCCTACATTTCCACATTTGACAACACGAGGGAGACTCGATCTATCCCGTCGTCGTTCAGAATAAATGTCACCGCAATAAGAGGGTTGTGGCGTCATATGAAATGCCCGAAGGGTGACTGACATCTGGCGAAAACAAAAAATGACAAGGTGGCGCAGCAGCAGAACTATCATGCTTTCCTGCGCAAAGCGATACGGATGACACCAGACACCGAGCTCTGGAATCAGTTGTTGAACAATAAATTTGTCCGTAATTGGGCCAACCTCTTGAGACCGTTCATGTGCCTTGCCACCACTGGCAACGAAGTGTGGCAGTTGGTGAACCGGTTCTTCGACATGTGGGAGAAAGGGGAATTGTCTGGCCAGGATGGAGTCAGGCCGGTTGATCAAGAGGGGAGGCCGGGAGAGGCTTCCGCTGTAGGTTCAGCTGCCGAAACAGTGAAACGGAAAAAGGAACTGGTGCACTATGTGCAGTCGAACAAAAGTCTGAATGGGTACTACGTGTGTGTTCATGACCCTCCGGCGAGCGCTTGGAAAGTGTTCGGGGATTTCACTGCCAGGGAGAAGGAGATGGCATTGGATATGATTTTGGCAGGGAAGGTCGTTGTGACCACCGGCAGGACATTCGTAAAGAAACTGATGAACATGAACGACCTCTACACAGAAGTGCGCAGGGATGTTCAACTACGTGCTCTTCAAGTCGGAACGCAGGGGACAGCGTGAGTGGAATGACGATTTCTTCATCGGGTATGATGATATTATGAAGAGATTTGAGCCGCACGGGTTGACGAAAGAGAAATGGGAGAAGAAGAAGATGAAACTTCCAGTTGACAGAACGAACAACGTGCCGAAACGACTGGGGGGGGTGGATGAGGGAAAGTTGGGACARGGGAATGTGGGGGGGTACAAGGTGACAACTGAAATGTATATCGAGTGTCCGTACTTCCTCAAACTGTTTCTGCATGAGATAGTGGGAGCGGTAAGCAAGTTGAAGGACGAGCTTCAGCGCGTCAACGCAAATGCACAACATATACTGTGGGATAAGCGGAAGTGTAATACAACGTATTTGCCTGTGTGCATGGCGCCGTTGGATGGGCTGCAACCGACAAAGGATTTGACTCGTGTTGTGAAGAAATTGAGTTGTCGCCTTGCGGTGCTAGACCTGGCTCCCCACAAGAACCTGGATTCATGGACGGAGCAGAGGTTTGTGGAACTTCAGCAAATGATGATGGCTCTGTGTGGGACACATTGGGCACTCATCATTTTCAGTGGATTGAATGGCGAGGACTACATTCTGAGGAACATTTTCAGGTGGGGGGGTGTGAAAGTTCTTCCGGGCCGTTGGCGGCGGCATCATGGCACGCAACCATCCTCATGTGTCCCCCTTGGGAATCTTCCATTGAGGAGCCGTGATTCAATGACGATTGTGTTGCACGACACGGGCAATGACTTCAAAAAAGTCACCGTCCCGTCCAAACGTGACAATGTGCTTTTTGACACTAACTACGAGGAGGATATGTTCGTGCATTGCTCACAACAGCACATCGGCGTGGCCGGCGAAGACAAACCTGTTTATGGGGTTTGGGAGAGAGAACCAGCAAGAATGAAGGAGTTGTGTTCATGGTTTTCGAAGGAGGGGGAGGGTGTGCTTCTTCTGGGCAACGTCCAGTCTGGGTCAGTTTGGGACTTGCTTCGATCTGACCGTCATGTGGTGGCATGTGACGGCTCTACCACCATGCTTGAATTTTGTTCGGCGTTTATTGATCGCCTCGTCCATAATCCCGAAAGTCGTTGTCACTTCGAGCGGCCCAAAACTCAGCATCGGCCGAACTGAGACATGTTCCTGAAACTCGGGAAGAAAAGAGAATCTCTATGGAAGTACTTGTTCTGCAATGCTCATGATACACGAACGGAGACTGATTACTTTGCTAGAAAAGTCGTCGCTCTCCAACACCTCCAGCGGTACCACGACGCCAAGATTGGTGCAATCGAGATATTTCTGGCACGTTGCGAGGACCTGTGGTTCGACAGAAAAATGCGTCGCATCGACGCAAGGATTTATAACGAAGCGTTGGAGCCTCAAGACCGTTTCGATATAATGGACTGTGAGGAGCATACCGATGATGACGAGATCCACCTGCTGCTGCCTGATGCAAGAAACCACGCAGTTGACGAGAACATGAGCACCGGGTCCTTATCGGAGGGGGACCCGATGGTGGTTGAAGTCGGGGGACCGACAATGGCCAGTTGCAAGACCGCCCAACTCACACACACGCAGACGTCATCCGCAAGAGATGGTACCGAGGCAAGCACTTCGAAATGGAAAGACAAGAGAGGCGCCCCAGGGTTTCCAACAATGATGCGGCAAATGTTCGACCAAGTCATGGAAATGCAAACAGAGAACCAAACTCGTGGTCAACATGACGACGCAGGCCCCGGGGAGGATGACATGGGTCTGGAGGACAATCCGCTGTTCCACATTCCAGACGACGAGGACAAAGATATAACTCCTGGAGATGAAATCGAAAGTCACATGAAGGAGAGCAAAGGGGGACCTCACTTTTTGGACACCAAGTTCACAGAGACTAAGGTGTACAAATGGGGCCATCACATCATATGGCATCCGGGTCTTTTCGAGCCATGTGTGTTTGATGGCAAATGGCACATGGCTGTCCAAGTCAGAGGGAAGTGGATATTCAAGAAGAGACTGAGCAGGAGTAAGTTCCTTGAGACTGCAAAGGAACAGTTGTTGCTGCGCGTGCTGCAGGCAAACAAGGGTGCAGGAGAGCAAGATATYAGCGAAAAGGTGAACTCCGTATTTGAATCRYTGCTTCAARACAATCTTCTGGAGTATTGYGCTGCTTTCTATGAGAGAMAATYGAGCCCTTCACGAGGAMAGATCAGATGGACATTGGAGTRTCGTCAGACGGAACAACTGTACGACAGTGACATATTGGTGGGGTGCACTCAAGCCATGGAAGAGAATATCCGACAGTGTAAGAGTTTAAATGGGACTAGACAAGGAGCCGTTAAGACGAGTGTTGCTGAAAAGGAAGGGCGTGAGAGGAAGGACGTCGAATGTAAAGAGCAGGGAACTCATGAGGCATCAGTTGATGAGCTACTCAAAACGCCGTTTTCTGAGGGCGTTGGTGCGGTGCCGGGGGGAAAGACGGCAGGTCCGGGATGCGGTGGGGAAGGGGCAGAAAATACAAAGGAACAGGGGGAAAAGGACGCCACATCCGATGAAGATGCGGGAGATGCCGGAGACGGGGGTGCCCAACGGGTGGCCAGTGGACTGGGAGACCCGCTTTCGGCAGCCATCACAGGCATATCGTCACATGGAGGACGGAGTGGGGGGGGAGCACAATGCGGGAGATGCACTGGTATTCGGAGGAGCAAGCCCGCAGGACACTACCGAGCCTTTAGCGGATAACAGAGGTGAGGGGGACAAACTTCTGCACATGGTATGCATTGGCTCTAGCTCGCAGATAGCCCCAGACTCAATGGAGAGGGATGAAGGTGGTGGTATGGAGGGAGTTCGTATGGCACATGGTCGTGAAGTGGGAGATGATGATGAGGAAGCTGACACGGATGCGAACCTCGAACACAACATGGACGTGGACAGCGAGGATGGTTTGGGAAAGGAAGCTTCCTATCGTGGCCGATCCGGTGGCAGCAGCTCGAATGTGATCAACTTGATCGAGCGATCGGGTGAGAACGGAGGAAAGTCACACATTGAAGGAAGAACGTTGTCATCAGCCAAGCCAACATAAATGGACCATGCTTTGCATGATGGGAGTAAGGGAAGGTGCAGTCCGAAGCGTGAAACAAGAGACGAAAAAGAGGAATGTAGTGTGCGACGCTCAAAGAGAGGCAAGGAGAAGAAAGCAGCATAGCACACATGCATGTGCATGTGTGTATGTCTTGCAGTGATGTGTGTGTGTGTGTGTGTATATGCATATGCGTATGTGTGTGAGCGTATTTATGTGTGTGTGTGAATGTTTCGTGTGTGTGTGCCTGTGTGTGTGCCTGTGTGTGTGTGTGTGTGTGTGTGTGTGTGTGTGTGTGTGTGTGTGTGT